AGTATGTGACTAAGTGTTTGAACTGCCAGCAGGTCAAGTATGAACATCAGAGACCGGGTGGCCTACTTCAGCAGATGCCTATACCAGAGTGGAAGTGGGAACGCATCACCATGGACTTCGTAGTTGGGTTGCCACGGACTTTGCGGAAGGTTGATTCAGTGTGGGTCATTGTGGATAGGTTGACCAAGTCGGCCCATTTCATTCCAGTGGCGACTACTTATACAGCGGAGAGGTATGCTCAGATTTATATTCGGGAGATAGTCTGATAGCATGGTGTGCCGGTTTCCATCATATCAGACAGAGGCCCTCAGTTCACTTCCCATTTCTGGAGAGCCGTTCAGAGTGAGTTGGGGACTCGTCTAAAGCTTAGCACAACATTCCATCCTCAGACCAACGGACAGTCGGAGCGGACAGTTTAGATCTTGGAGGATATGCTTAGAGCATGTGTGATTGACTTTGGAGGGCAGTGGGATCAGTTCTTGCCCTTAGGCGGAGTTTGCGTACAACAACAGTTACCAATCCAGCATAGAGATGGCCCCGTACGAGGCCTTATATGGTCGACGTTGTCGTTCTCCTATCGGGTGGTTTGAGCCTGGTGAGGCTAAGTTACTTGGCACAGATTTGGTACAGGATGCCTTGGATAAGGTAAAGTTGATTCAGGAGAGGCTTCGCACAGCTCAGTCCAGACAAAAGAGCTACGCGGATCAGAAGGCGCGGGATGTATCCTTTATGGTTGGCGAGAAGGTTCTCTTGAAAGTCTTGCCCATGAAGGGCATTATGAGGTTAGGGAAGAAGGGCAAGTTGAGCCCAAGGTTTATTGGCCCCTTTGAGGTGTCGAGACGAGTTGGGGAGGTTGCCTATGAGCTCGCCTTACCTCCCAGTTTATCGGGATTTCATCTAGTTTTTCATGTTTTGATGCTTCAGAAGTATCATGCCGACCTATCCCACGTGTTGGACTTCAGTACCATTCAGTTAGATGAGAGTCTGGGCTATGAGGAGGAGCCAGTTGCTATTATTGATAGGCAGGATCGCCAGTTGAGGTCCAAGAGGATTTTTGCGGTGAGGGTCCAGTGGAGGGGCCAACCGGTCGAGGAGGCGACCTGGGAGTCTGAGGAGGACATGCGGAGCAGATATCCCCACTTATTCAGCAGTCCAGGTACTTTTCTACGTCCGTTCAAGGATGAACGTTTGTTTAAGAGGTGGAGAATGTAATGACCCTACTGGTCGTTTTGCCTTTTAGAACCCCGTTCCCATAAATAAAACCTTCCGTACATGCTTTAGCTAATTTACGACTCGTGGGGACAGTTGGTTCGGGAGTTGGAAGAGTTTTGAGTGAAATATGTCTAATTGTTTCTTTAAGATTCTCTAAAAAAAAGACCAAGTTTGACTTCGGTCAACTTTTTGGAAAAACGGACCTAGACTCGTGATTTGACGGTCCCGGGAGGTCCGTGGAAAAATATGGGACCTGGGCGTATGCCCGGAACCGAATTCCGAGGTCCCTAGCCCGAGTAATGACATTTTTATTGAAAATTGTTAAATTGAAATCCTAAGAGTCTAATAAAAAGGAAAAATGCTTGATCACATTGATATCGGGCCCGTATGTTGGTTCCGGAGTTCGGTACAAGTTTGGTATAATATTTTAGTTATGTCTGTGAAATTTGGTGAGGAACGGGGCTGATTTGACGTGATTCGGACGTTCGGTTGAAAAAATAGGAATTTAGGTGTTCTTGAGGATTTCATGCATTTTGGTGTTAAATCCGTGGTTTTAGGTCTTAATTATGCGATTTGATTACTTGAGCAAGTTTGCACACTGTTGTAGGACTTGCGTGAGTGTTCGGAGTGGAGCCCCGAGGGCTCGGGTGAGATTCGGGCATGGTTGGAGGTAAGAAAACACAGCAGTTTTGCTGGTATTTTTGCTGCTGCTACAGGTTTCACAATTGCGAAATGTCCATCGCAATTGCGAGAAATTCTTCGCATTTGCGAAGTTGGCTGGGCTGGGCAGTGTTCGCATTTGCGAGCCATTTCTTCGCAATTGCGAACCCAGCATGGTCCGCATTTGCGATCGAGGCAGGCTGGGGCTCAGTTCGCATTTGCAAACCTTTTGTCGCAATTGCGACCTCGCATTTACGAGCCTAGTGTCGCAATTGCGACATCAGAGGACTGGTCTGGGCTTTTAAAAAACGGGACTTAGAGCATTTATTTCATTTCTACTCTACACTTGGGCGATTTGAGAGCTTCCAAAGAGGGGATTTCAACATAGCATTGTGAGGTAAGTTATTTCCATTCATCCTTAGTTTAAATACATGTATATTAGGTAGATTAAACACCAAAAATTAGATAAAATCAAAGGGGTTAGAGCTAGACCTAGGGTTTTAATAAAACTAATATGTAACCACGAAATTTGTTATGAAATGAACTAGAAATCATATATTATTGATCCTTAGGTAGTATAGAACGATTTCCTTCGAAAAATTTTGGAATCCGGGCACGTGCACTCGGGGTTGGAATTTAGGAAACTAATGTAAATAGTTGGGAAATGGCTTGAATAGCTAGAATCGATCTTGTGAGCTTATATTAATTAGTTCTTACTTCATTTAACTAGTTTGAGATCGTTCGGCTCCGAATTTGAGGACTCGGGCTTGTTCTTGATATTGGAAGTGCGCTTTGGAGAGAGGTGAGTCTCCTTTCTAACCTTGTAAGAGGGAAATGTCCCCATAGGCATAATAATTGAATTAATTGTCATTGTATTCGGGGGCTACGCACGTACTAGGTGACGAGAGTCCGTGCATAGCAACTATTACGCTAAGTCCGGGTAGTTTAGGGCCCATAAGCATGCCTTACGTGATATTCTAGTACAATTTGATTAACTTGGATTCGTATGAACTCTTTTGATTAAGAAGAATGAGACCAGAGAATGACCCTTACCCTGTTGGTCCTTTAGGAGAGAATGATTGGCATTTCTATGTATGGTTACTCCTCATGTATATATTGATTGTTGTCGTTGCTTGTCAACGAGCTTATTTCTGTTTGACCGCGTCGCACAGGAGATTCGCGAGCGGGGTAATAGATGCATCTATGGTTCGAGCCGTTCGACCCTCGGCAGTGCACAATTTACTTTTATGTTTGATCGGGCCGTACGTTCCACGGTGATTATATGCGCATGATTTATTTGGCATTCTATTGTGGGTTAAACTTCATATCTGTTTAAAAATATAAAGGGACGCTCATGCTGAGTATCTAAAGGAAGAATTGTTGTTTTATACTTACTAATCCTTACGATTTGACTTATTTCTGCTTATTATAAATTTCCCTCATTTTTCATGACCTAAGTAAGTATCGAGTCGACCTCTCATCTCTACTTCTTCGAGATTAGACGGGATGCTTACTGGGTACATATTGTTTATGTACTCATGCTACACTTCTGTACTTAATTGTACAGGATCTGAGGCAGGTGGATCTGGTTATCATTCTGGTGCGCACCCGTGAGCGGACTTGGGACTTCTACGGTGAGCTGCTTTTCTTCCATGCCGACCCGCAGCCGAAGAAGTCTTTCCTTTGTACTTTTATTTTTTTGTCTATCCTGATTCAGACAGTAGGATAGTATGATATTCTTTTGGGTGTTTATTCTACTAGCTGCCTGTAGCTTGTGACACTAGGTTCTGGCACACACTTTGGTAGACAGTTATTTTTTTTTGGGTTGTATAATTACGTTATTTACGGCATTTCGCTCTTCTGGCTTAATACCAATTAAGTATCTATTTCACTCATTTCTGATTAAAAGCAACATAAGAATTTAGTAATGTTTCCGCGATGGCTTGCCTGACAATGTTGTCAGGCGCCCTCATGACCTATTGTGAAAATGGGTCGTGACAAGTTTAGTGGCCGATGCAAAAAAAATAATAATAAAAATAGTACTTGTTTCATAAACCTTGCTAGTTCAACGACAAGCCAGCTCCTTAGTCCCTTCCACTGTTTTGTTCTAAATGTTTTAGATATTTTGTGACCTCTAAATCCATATGAGTTTTAAGTTTTATACTAAAGAATATTTACTACTCCTATCACGTTGCTAAAATTCAACTACAGGGAAATATTTATAGTAATGTAAATTGTTGACTTGGGTGGAAAAGTACTAAATTATCTTGTTACAACTAGTAATAGCTCGTTTGCTATAAAAGATAAGGGATAATTAATTCGGCGATTAAATTTGAAATGAGTTTATTTCACGTTTAGTTGAGATAAATTTAAAATATAACTAATCTCGGAATAGTTATCTCGGGACTAATATTATTTTTATCTCTGTGGGAGGGTAAGATAATAATTTCGGGATAACTAATTTTGGAATAATTAATCTTAGGATGACTTATTTCTCAACCAAATAACCCTTAAGGGCGTACAATACACTGGCATAATGCATATCTTGTCTAGTTCTGCAAATGTTGAACGTTGTTGATAGCTTCGTGAAAATAGCCACTATTTTGTTGTAACACAGAAAGTTCCAACATAATATATTGGAGATTGGTGCATCTGTGTATGAACTTCCAGCACATTATGCTGGAACTCCAACACGCGGAAAGTTCTAGCATAACTTTAGTTGAAGCACCTGTGTATTATGCTGGACCAGTATATTATGCTGGAACTCCAGTATATTATGCTTGAACTCCAGTATATTATGTTGGAACTCCATTATTTTATGCTGGAATTCAAGTATATTATGCTGGAAGTTCATATGTAAAAAATTCGAACTCCAATATAGTATGCTGGAATATTTTTCGAATTTTGAATAGTGTTTTCGTTCAGATTTATCTTACATGAAAAGTGGCTAAATTGCGATTACTTTTGAAATTGTAACTATTTTTCAATTATCACTTGTAAATATGGCTATTTTTAAATTTCACCCAAATAGCTTCTCACCCAAACCCAAATAGCATATGGGCCTTACATCCATATGGACCATTATTCTTCGGCCCAATCATGATTACCAAGAATGGAGCATCACCAGTAGTGTCACTCTTGAAACTCTCTTCAATTCATCAATGGAGAAATCGCAGAACCAAAATGAACCTCTTCGAATGAAAATGCAGTCATAAACCATAAACATTAGAAGAGAATTTGAAGGATGTTCAGAATTTCCCGCAGTCGAAGGATACTATATTATTCTTATTCTTCTTCTTCCTTATTTCCATTGTGGCGTCAGAATCACAGCTCTAATTTGAGCACAGAGCCACATCTCTCTTTTTCTCCACCAGAATCTCATTATTCACAAGGTTTTTACCACCCTTCTCTCTTACATGTTGATAGTTTCCATAGATATTGACTGACTTTCTAATATTCTAATCACAAAAATTGGTTCTTTTGTGTGTTTCTTTGAGAATACAATCCACTGAACTACAAACTATTTATATGTATACACACATATCAATTCCAAACTAGTTGCTTTAGCTATATGAATAATCTGTGTACAAACTATTTATATATGTATTCACATATGGGAAATTTTTGTTGGTTTTTGAAATTTACAGCTCTCTTCCATCCCTTTTTACTACTAATCTCACGAGCTTGATTCGAGAATGTGAATAGAAAAAGCTTGTCTTTTTCTTCCTTCCTTTTGGTAACTGACTGTTTTTGTACTATCTAAATTTTCTGCTTAAAGGTGACTTTCTCCTCCTTGCAGATTATCACGGACTGTTATGCATTCTTGAAGGGTGTAAGAAGTCACCAAATTTGAGAACTATAGTTGGCACACATGCTAATATTATTAAGCTTGGTTATGGAATGTATCCATCTCTTATTTCTTTGATGGTAGTGACATATGTGTCTTGTGATAAACTCAATCTTGCTCGTCAGCTGCTCGATGAAATTCCTACCGCTTATTTTGACGCCGTCTCTGCTAATTTAATGATTGCTAGTTTTATGAAGATGGGGGCAGTTGATGTTGCGAAGAAGATATTTAATGATGTTCCCCTCCGGGATTTGGTTACTTGGAACTCACTGATTGGAGGTTATGTAAAAAATGACATGTTTAAGGAGGCACTCAGTGTCTTCAGAAAGATGCTGAGGTCTGATGTTGAACCAGATGGATATAGTTTTGCGTCTGTCATTACTGCATGTGCTAGACTTGGAGCCATTGATCACGCTAAGTGGGTACATCACTTAATGACTGAGAAAAAGGTTGAGCTAAATTACATTCTTTCTTCTGCTTTGATAGATATGTACTCGAAATGTGGAAGAATCGAGATAGCTAGAGGAATTTTTGATAGTGTTGATCACACGAATGTTTCTGTCTGGAATGCGTTGATTAATGGATTAGCAATCCATGGTCTTGCTTTAGATGCAATTGGGATACTCTCACAGATGGGGCCAGAAAATGTTTCACCTGATAGCATTACTTTTATTGGGCTTCTAACAGCATGTAGTCATTGTGGGTTGGTTGAAGAGGGTCGGAAGTATTTTGATCTAATGAAAAGTATGTATTTGATACAACCGCAACTTGAGCATTACGGAGCAATGGTTGATCTACTAGGCAGAGCTGGACTGCTTGATGAAGCTTATACAATGATCAAGGAAATGCCAATAGAACCTGATATAATCATATGGAGGACATTTCTCAGTGCTTGTAGAATTCACAAAAATTCTGAGATGGGTGAACTTGCTAGCACAAAAATATCTCATCTTGGCAGCGGGGATTATGTTTTACTGTCAAACATTTATTGTTCTACTAATAAATGGGATAATGCTGAGAAAGTTAGATATGTGATGAAACGGAAAGGTGTTCGTAAAAGTAGCGGAAAAAGTTGGGTTGAAGTGGGTAATGTTGTTCACCAGTTCAAGGCAGGTGATCGATCACACCCTGAAGCTGAACTAATATATAAAACTTTGAAGGAATTGATTCATCGAACCAAATTGGAAGGATTTAGTTCCACGACTGAGTTGGTTTTGATGGACATTTCTGACGAGGAAAAGGAGGAAAATTTGAGTTTCCATAGTGAAAAATTGGCATTAGCCTATGGGATCTTAAAATCTAGTCCTGGAACTCGCATTCAAGTTTCAAAAAATCTTCGGACTTGTCTAGATTGCCATTCTTGGATGAAAGTGGTAGCAAAGGTGTTGAATAGGGAGATCATTGTGAGGGACAGAATCCGCTTTCATCACTTTGTAGATGGTTATTGTAGTTGTGGGGATTACTGGTAGTGATTCTTTGACGTAACAATTGAGTTTGGTAATTGATGTGACGTAGACAACTTATAGTGGATGTCTCAAAGCGTGTGCCTCTTATCTTGCCTGTTTTTAGCATCCTATCTGCTGTGTGAAACTCTTTGTACTAGCACCACTTAGATGATGACATCCTGAAGTATTCGTTATGTGAAGGCTTAAAGCTCATCTGGTTACAATCAGTGCCAAAATGGTTTATTTCCATATGCTGCAGCTCCAAGCTTTGATATAAGACATCCCCGTGTATGGAAGAACTCGCTGAATATTACATCCAGGTGAGTTGTTAAGTTTATTTTCTGGTCTTTGAGGAATGAACACTCTCTTTCATGAATATCATGTCTCTACAGAATTGTTTGAATCCTTCTCTTTGGATGGAAACTGGATATATCTTGTTATTGTGTAATTGCTTAAATCTTTCTCTTTGGATGGAAACTGGAGTAGATTGGCAACTTAGACAAATTGAATATGGAAAAAGTTAAATTACCTTGAGAAAACTGCAGTCTCGAGTTGGTTGTAAAATGAAAAGTAGCCTTAAGTAACCAGTAGTTCACATAATGTATATATATAGTAGAAGAAAAGCTTCATTGCAGGCAGTTCAATACTCTTGACCTTATGAATTTCTTGGACAAGGAGGATAGTGGCTTTTGTTGTTCCAGAGAAAACTTCCAGTAGATACATGAGAAAAACTACTTATGAAAAAAGGGCACATTCATGTAGTCGTTGCTTCAAGAGAAGAAAGTTGCAAGACATGTGACTGTTGAATCTAATTTCCACCTGTAACTTTTTTACGTGTCAAGGATAGTCAAACATTATGGATTGTGACGTAAACTTCTGCAATAGCTTCTCCAATAGTCCAATCTTCTTAAGCTTCACTTTAGATTGCATTTAACCTTATACACACAAACACACACAAAAAAAAGCACACAAACATATATTTTGTGTGTGTGTGTGTGTGTGTGTGTGTGAGAGAGAGAGAGAGAGAGAGAACTTAATGGTAATATCATGCTTCATCTTATTGTATGTGAGAAGTCAAATATTTGTTATCTTTTGTCAGAGCCCTACCAATTCAAGTATATAATTACAAATGCCCTGCCTCTTTCTATTAAATACCATAGGTCTACTGTTGAATTGTGCGAACGCCGCATTTGAAAGTTTAAACTAATAGAAAGGAAACACTTTAATTTATTTATTTCAGGTTTACTGCGTGTCATCTCATGTGCTGCTGTGATTCTTTTTCTGAGCTATGCACATGGAAATATTTTCTATGTTGGGTGGTGATGGAACTTGAAGCCAAGACCTCTGTGTAGTACGATTAATGTTTTATTATATGAACTGCCTTATCTAAAGATTTAAACTGTTAGAATGGGGACATTTTTGTATATTAATTTAGGTGTATAACAACTGAAAAGATGTTTCTCTGGTGAATTTTCACTATAACGCGTTGTTAGTATGAAGTGGTACTGTTTGGCTTACTTAATGAATACTCATTAATCAGGTCAAGAAGTTGCCCAAATCTCTATGTGCTAATTTAACCTTGGACTTTTTCCCTTCACCTGTACAAGAGAAGGCTCTGAGGCTGAGCATGGAAATAGAGATGTTGCAGGCTAAAGGAAACACACACAATATGCTAGGAGGTAGCTGTTTTTAAGGTTCTCTTGCTTCTGCAGCCACTGGGCTCATGCTCAATGCAGTTTCTCTTCGAGTATGCTCAACTTTAAAATGCATTATCTTCTTAACTGTAGTAGTATGACTATAGTTTCAAGTAACTCATCTATGGAAATGTCATGAGCTATACAGTGGGTGTGTCTTACCTCAACAGAAAAGCAAAAAAAAAAAAAAAAAAAAAAGAAGGTAATGCATTTAACCGCTGCAAAACATAAAAACGATTTGATTGAACGCAGTTATAACTCTTTTCACTTGTTGCAGAACTGAGATCGAGAGCTCAGTGCCCTATCTGCCTTTAAGTGAATGGGCGCATCCACCGAAGATGGCAGCTATCCACTTTGTCTTATCAAAATGTTTGATGGAGATGGAAGTTGAAAACATCAAAAGAAAGCCAATGAACTAGAAGATCAGGTGAACAACAATATATACTTTTTATGTAGAAGCTGAATATTTAGTAATGCATATAAATGTAGAATGTATATTTGCAATATTGTTCCTCATAGCTTTTTTTTTTTTCCTCATAGCTATTAGAAGAGAGCATTTGAAACTTCTCGAGTGAGCTAAAGGCATAGTGCAATTACTTGCTTAGGCGTCCTGTATAGGAACTAATGGCATTTTGCCTCCATAAGCCTCTGGAAGCTGGCTTTCATTGATATCTTGTAGTAAGGTTGCTCTCAGTCGTTTGTTTTCCACAAATACGATCTGTGAAGATGAAATTTAGTTTGGTGAAGATGATGTGATACAAGTTATAGTCAACTGTCATGCATGACTGAGCTCTAGCATTGGTATATCTACCTTTTATGTGAAATAGAAAGCTTTTAGAACCTCACCTTTTTCTTGGTGTTGTTGTCTATGAAAGGACACAACATCTTCCATAATGTGCAAAATAAGTAGGGAACATTAACAAGAAGTACTTTTCCGAGTCTTTCGGGGTAGCAATCCTGCAAAATGGATGTCTTTTAGATTAAGGACTAGAATAGGGTAAGCTCCAATTCCTAGGAAAGAATGAAGTTAACTAAACCTGTACGATAGATAGAGCCGCAAGATAGGCACGAACATCACTGCTTGAATAGCCAAAACCTTGGAGATCTCCGATTATCACGAACTTCTCTCTTCCTGGCGAAGTCCTGATTCATCAATGAAACCCCATAATTTATGATGTGTTTTTTCATTCTCTATAACTCTTTTTGAGTAGTAATATTCCAGTACTCAATAATTTGTTTTTTGGAAAACAGGTCTTCCATGGTGGAGTTTGTTGCTGATGTTTTCAACTGATTTTGGAAAAGAACAACAGAGGAATAAAGCTGCTATTATTTTAAATACCGTACCTTGCACACAGTTTGTCTAGAGCGAAGACTATAAAACCTGAGGAATCAAAGAAAGACTTGACTGTGAGAAATTGACTGGTTCAAAAGCCATCTTCCTGACCATGAAGCAGTAGGCCAAGTGAAATTAGTAAAAAGGTAAAAGGAAAGTCATACGTTTGAACTCTTCAACACCTCCTATTTTGTTTTGTATATGCCTGCCACCAAAAACTACAGCAATAGGACGTCCTTGTTTGTCCACACCTTGCATGAACATCTTGTTCTGTGCTATCTCGTTTGGTATCTCGCACGCTGAAATGGATCCTTTTGGTACAAAGCTTTGCCTCCATTTAAGGTATTTCAAGAACATTGTTGATGCTTTTTCTACGTCAAGATCTCGAGCTCGAAGAAACCTTCTTAATGCATATTCATCTACTTCCTGGAAACAAGCAACAAAATCCTTTTACTTTTGATAAAAAGTCTTGATCTTTTTCTCCAATAGGGAAAAAGAAAGCAAACAAGGATAGTTAGAAAGATAATGAGAGAAATGCTGCAATGCTGTGGGAAATAGTATAGTAATACCTTGGAAGAAGGATCTTGCTTTTCAATAACAGCTCTCATTAGTTCAATTTTGTAATTCTCTTGTTCAGTAATTGTATCGTTGCATTTCACTTGAATCTCTTCTTTTTCTATTGTTTCCTGCTTCAGTCTGTGTTCAGAAAGAAGTACATCATTGTTTGGCTCCATTGCTACTGCTTCTGCCTTCACCTCCATCAGTTTCTTCCTTGCACCTGTAATTAGTGGGAGAAAAGGAATGGAAAGCAGAAGATTCAACCCAACTTTCAAGGTAACTAATTTCCTCTTGTTTGTTTGAATTTATAGCCAAGTTCAAGAAAGAAAATAAGAGGAAGATGGGGATGTTAGAAAAATCAAGTCTTTGAAAGAAATGAATAAAGGCAATTGACCATGGTGGGTTTATTTGACTGACTGATGAGTTGAAACTTGAAATTGAGAGGGAGACTAGATATAAATAAACTTGACATGACTAGTGAAAAACAGAAACTTACACTCAATGAAATGGGTAAAAACCATGATAGACCAGACATTTGTGCAAAGACACAAATTGTCAGGTCACTGAACCCTATCTGCCTAAGCCGTGATAGGCAGAGTTACCGAACATTGGTGTTGCTCGAAGGTTACAATATCTAGTGAAATAGTCGAGATGCACGCAAATTGAATCGGACAACATCATTATATGAAAAGATGACAAAACAAATACCACTTTCAACCAAAAAATAAAGTGCGGTGTAGATTGCTCTAGCATTCAAGCTGGTATAGATATCAAACACGATCACGCCGTATAAAATCATAAATGCAGCGTTCATTGCTTCTCAAAAAATAGTAAAAATTTAAAGCATAAATGAAGTGTTTTGTAGGATTTGATTGTTTCGCCATTTGGTTACAGATTGTGGGGGTTGAGCTACTTGTCTTCCTCATTAATTGATAGGTGGCTAAGAGTGACTTCATGGACCCCTAAGCATTTATTGTATATATAATCAGCATCATTCATTATAGTGGTTCCCTTCCATAGTTTCACTAGGCAGTAACGCTTTGATGTGGAGGAGGCATGTATATTGACCGGGTTAAAGCTAAACTAATTAGATCGATTTGGATTGGTTCGGTTTTGTTGGGTTTTTCGGATTTTTGGTTACATGAATATTATTTCTATCTTTGTTCGAGTTTTAATAAGTAAATACATTATATGTTTAGTAAATATTGAAAAAAACTGACAAATGTATTATCTATAAAAATATTCTTATGCCAGAGTTTTCTTAGTAATTCAAGATAGTTTTTTTCTAATCTAACAATTATTTTTTGTTGATGCACGCTTTCAAGGTTAATTGAATTTAATAATTAAACATAAAAATTAATATAATACCTAAATAATAATATTATTCTATTTAATTTTAAGATATCGAAATACCATTTCAAATTCAAAAAGATATAAGAATTTAATAGATCTTGACATATGAATATGAAAGAATAAAGAGATTGATGCACGACACTAAATAAGAAAGTATGACACAACCCATTGTTTAAAGTAAATAAAAGTGGAGCACTTAATATTTCTATTAAATATTACATTCCATATATCTCAAATATTTTAGACATTTTTTAAAGAAAATTATATATAAGGCCTTAAAAGTATATATAAAAATTATATATTTATATGTCGGTTTGGTTCAGTTTTTTTTACTCATACCAAACCAAATCAAACCTAACTTACTCGGGCTTTATAATCGATTTGGTTCAACTTCTCGGTTTGATGCGGTTTTCTGGTTCGGTGTGAACACCCCTACTTTGGAGTATGATAGTAAGATATACTTGTATCCGTATAATCTATTAGTAGGATAAAATAAATATATTGAAATATAATTACAGGAGCTACGGTTGAGGGTTAGGTGTTTCACAATTATGTTACTTGTAGTTTCAAACAAAAGATTTCTCTCTCTTATTTCACTTTACTTGTAGCAATTCGTATGTCGGCAGATTATGAGAAAATAGAGAGCAAAATAACCAATTTACGTAGTAGTCTTTTAAGTAGTCATATTTTAATCAAAAAATAGTACATGATTTAATGTTTTATGTTTATGTATCATACCTCTCTCACCAGTTTTTTCCCTACAAAAGACGAGTCATTATTGCAAAATGAGTAGCTTTAACTTCCCAATAATGGTAAAAATAGCACGGGCTAGCCAGTTTTCGGACTGGTCATTCAAAAATAGCCAGCGTTTGCAAAGTTATTCAAAAATAGTCACTATTTTACTGCAACACGAAAAGTTCCAGCATAATATACTGGAGATCGGTGCACCTGTGTATGAACTTCCAGCATATTATGCTGAATCGGTATATTATACTGGAACTCCAGTATAATATGATGGAAGTTCAGTATATTATACTGGAATTCCAGTATATTATATTGGAGTATATTTCGGATTTTGAACAGTATTTTCGTTCAGATTTATCTTTACATGAAATGTGGCTAAATTTCGATTACTTTTGAAATTGTAGCTATTTTTGAATGACCACTTATAAATCTGGCTATTTTTGGATTTCTCCCAAAATGCTCAGCGATCAATAAATCGAAATGAGCTCGCGAAGCCTGTCTCAAGAATCCCAACAACAAAGTCAAATAGCTTTTTACTGATTGATAAAATAGGACTAGACGCCGACTTCTGAAGACACACTAAGATGGAAATCACGTGCTGAAAAATGAATAGTTTTATCACTTATTTTTTGGAAAATAATTTTTTATGTTGCTTTCCTTATCCTCCTCTCCCTCCCTCCCCCCCCCCCCTCCCCCTCCTCCCAAAAAAAACTCCAAATACCCAATGTTTTGAGGATTCTATTTTCTTCAAGAGTTTAATTATTTCTTTTAAAAATTTACATAAACCCAAAGTAACTAATGTACTACTTTACTTTTTCACGCAAAAATAACATTAAAATTTGTGCTACATAACTAAAAAAATATCATTTTTCAATTGAAAAAGGAAATACTCTTTCTACAACATAAAAAAGTACCCATTTTCTTAAAATGAGAGAAAATACTTTTTCTACATCATGAAAAGAAAATATTCATTTTGTTGAAATGAAAGAAAATACTTTTTATACATCATAAAAAGAAAGTACTTTTTTTGTTGAACTCAAAGGAAAATACTTTTTCTACATCATGAAAAAAAAAGTATTTTTTTTGTTGTTGAAATAAATGAAATTACTTTTTTACATTATGAAAAAAAAGGGATCTTTATATAAATAACCAGTCATATTCATGGCTTACTTTTTCTAGCAATATACATAGATTATACATTAATTATACATAATTATACACCTATAATACATAAATTACGCATACATTATACTTCCACTTGCTATTTTTAGTTTAAGCGGTTGGGTGGACGGTTATTTGGGTTAATTCTTCAAAAAAAAAACTCACTTTGTTCAAATTAAAAAAAAAATTCTATCTACAATATGAAAAGAAAGTACTCTTAATAATATTTCTATTTAGGATGGAATAAGGCTTGGTTGGGGGGGAGTATAGTGGGGGGTGAGGTAGGGGTGGGCGGGGGTAAGGGTGGGGGTGAGGGTAAGGGGTAGGGTGGGGTGGGGTGAGTTATGGGATGGGGGTTGGTGGGGATGGGGAATAGGTTGGGGAAGCTTGAAGAAGAGTTTTTGAAAATATTTTTCCATTCTTTTGATAAAGAAAACATTTTCCTCCAATTAAGCCAACCAAACATGAGAAAATTGAAAAACATTTTTCGGAAAATGTTTTTCTTTCATACCAAAGACACCCTATATTTCAAATCTCAACAAAAACAAATTTCTAGACAAGTTTTCCCATCTACTTAATATCTGTTGACAAAGTTGCCCAACTTTGGTAAGAGCTAGCAAGTAGTTACTAAAATAGGCAAAGTACCCACAAATTGACCCGACCACCACTAATTGGAGAGTTTCGAGGGGCGTCGATGGAGACGGCAGCAATAATATACCATGTGGTCTCGGTGGTCGCTGCAGCTACAAAACAAACCAATAAATGCTTGGAATTGACCTCAATCAAACTGACTTTGAAAATTTTTTCATACTTAATAATTGTGGAGGTTTTTTTCTTCCTCTATTTTTTTTTATTCTAAGGAAAATTTCTATTCTGTGGAGGGGTGGATCAGGAGTATTTTTCAATGCTATTCAAGCAGCTGATAGACCACGCAAATAATGGACATATGATAATCAATTCAAACAAATACATGACCCCATCAGACTTCTTGATTTCTATTTTTAGACTAAGCTATCACCACGTTAAGTAAAATTCTGAGGTGCTAAAAAAGACAACACAGATTCCAACCTTCTCATCACAGTCCAATTATTTTACACGCTAAAACTCAGTTCAGGATCCAGGTAGTGATCAAGGAAAGCAATTGGTCTCACATCAAGCTTGGTGTCATCCTTTAATCAAAGAAAGCATTTGATGAACAAACAAAATCAACTGCTAATTTACCACCAGCTGATGGTGTACTTTCTTGAGTTCAAACAGTTTGCTCTGTCAGAAGAAGATTATTGAAACACCCATCGTCAAACAGCCCACAGCCACCCATGGACTCAACCGTTCACCTGTTCACATTGAAGTATTGTAACACAACTAGTCAAATTTCATGCATTCTGGAGGAATGTATGGATTAAAAGATTAAATTTGCTATGGTAGGATGATAAAAGACATTCACAATATTATTTTTTTGGTAAATAAAGCAAACTTCTATCACCATTGAGAAATCTGTACAATAAAAAACCATCAAAACAATCTCACTATTGGACATACCCAATATCAGCACACCTCTACGCCAACTCTAGATTCTCGTACCAAGCCAGCAGGCATCTAAGGATTTAAAGTCTCTAGTTTCGGCGCAATCTTGGCCTTCATACTTCCACGACAGTGTACATTCATAACATTTGCCCGCCTCTTTTTTGCTAATTCCTCGCTAATTCCCTAATGTGAGTGATGGAACTATCCTTATTACATAAGTTTATTTGCTTTAAGTTGCATGTAAAATCAAAATTTTGGATGGTGGAGGAAATTTTCAGAAGTAAATTTTTTCCTCCATTTTCTTGACTTCGGAAGAAGTGTTCAAAGAACCTTCAAAGAACCACCATTAGGAGAAATAGGTATATAAATGACATGCAACCACAGCAAATGAAGCATCCAGTTACATTAACAAATGGGGAAGAGAAACGACCATGATACCCTAAAACAATTATGAATAGGTAAAGCAAGAGAGAAATATGAGAATAATATTTCCTTTAACAATGATGCCCTTATTAGAGAATAATAATGCTTAGCCAGGATTGTGCTATTTGTATTATTCAAAGTATGACGCCTAAGTTACAACTGTAAGTCCTCATCTCAGCAGTGCTTCAGCAATTCATCATCCTCCTATTGTGTGGTTTGGTTTCACAAGATTCATTATTTAAGAGAAATGCATGCATTGTTTTTAACACCCAGCTAAACAGTTTTGATTCTGTAAAAAGGTGAGGAAATTAGTCCAGACAATTCTTTGATACAAGAAACATCAGTGCAGTAGGAGATGACTTACCTATTCTAGCAGCCTTCCAAAAGAAACCTCGAAACCTGCCATGGTTACCATCTCATTAGGATGTAAAAAGATACATAGAACAAAGTCATAATCCACAACACTAAGGGGGAGATACAAGTATTGAACATATTACAAAAAATTTTGTAGCTTCTAAACCTGAAACTTTTTAGATAGGAAAAATAGTTGAAGCCTGAGATGCCCTCAACTGAAATGGCATGTTGAAACCCATTTAAGAGCCAAGAAAAATACAGTAGATCCAATAAAAATTTCCCTTGTATTCTTTTTCCCTCAAAACTAGCATTATGTTTTACCAAAGCGGGATCATTTCAAAAAAGAGTTTCCCCATCTTTAGTCCTAGCGAAGACATTTTTGATGAAATACCATCCACAATGCAGAACTGCAGACATAACCACCAATTTCCCCGGAGCAATAAAAACTACACTGGAACTCTTAAATCCTCAATCTCTTGGTACTTGATGATGCATAAAGTGGGTTACATGCCCCATGATTGAAAATACATAGTTCCAGA